TCAGGAGAGAGATCAACTATAGTGGACTGCTTGATCTACAATAAAGATCAATTAGATAGTCTTTCACATTTTAAATTTTTTCTTTGGAAAAATGTTAAAAAATTGCTCTCAGAAGTAAGAAATGAATACTATAGACAGTCGATCTTACAACTGTATAATCTTATATTTTTACCCCAAATACTCTTATCTAGCATGATCACCTCCCTAACTCCTCAGACTTGCTTCTTTATATATATATAAAAAAAATCAAGTTTGTTCTCTAAAATTGGTATTTATCTTCCTTGAGGAAAAACTTTTAGGCTGGCTCTGAAAGGTACATGAGAACTACATTTTGAACCAAAAGCCACTGGGCCCAGAACAGAAGAGGAAAATTCCTGAGTTGCTCTTTTCAATCTACTTCCAGGACTTGAAATACAAACATCACATGTAAACATATAAGCAATAATATTCATCAACCTCTTAACAACCTGAAATCCCAAAGAATAGTTCTTCCTTTCTCAAATGTCCATATTTTCCATTTTCTAGATAGCTGAGCATATATCCAGGCTGTGTTTTCCCATAACTGTGTTGGACACAAATTTTTCTAGAATAATTTTGCTGATGTTATACAGTGAGCATATTATACTGTCTCCACCAAAGGGCTAACGGTCACTGGGCTAATTTTTATAATTTACACTGTTCCTTTTTCACAGGCTCAACTGTCATTTCTCTGTGGACTATAAAAGACTCCTTTTTATTTTCTTGCTTATTTCAACAGTGTCACACATAAGGATATTGCCAGGTGCTGCACCCTAGACTGGATGGATCTAATTTGTTCAGAGTAGGCTCTGAGTAGACAATGGTAGGTCCATAAATCATAATCATAGTTATTTCATGTGACCAAACTCAAAATACAACCTATAGAACTATAAAGAGCTTTGGAGATAGAACAATTAGGGTTTGGTGGAAGAACTTTTTGTTATATGTCCCTGAATTTAACTACATAATTATGTTGTGTGTGTCCTTTAGCAAACTAGAAACTGAAATGAGAAAAAAACATTTTGAAACAAAACGTGTGTTTGGAATCACCAGTGACAAGCTTCATTGACTAAAGGAGAGGTTCACAGAATATCCGAGCTGAAATGAGAGCACCTTAGAGATGGTTATAACACCATCATTTTCATCACAAGATGAGGACAGTGAGATTTAGAGCAGTGACATGCCCACAGCTTTAATTACTATGCAATTAGCATCAATTAACTGTGGCATATTAAGCATACATCAAGCATAAATCAGAAAATGTACCCTTCAAGGCAAACAGTTGTGTGTTAGTTTCATCTGTTATGGAGCTGATGGAGTTGATGGGTAGGGAACAAGCCAACACACTGAGCAAACATATGCCTGAGTTCTTGCCCCTCTTACACTCTATCAAAGGCTGCTGGGTCCAGAGTGAGAGGGCTAAATGGTAGAGCAGATGTCCAGAAATGAAAAATGGGCATCTTGTGCCCACAAGCTATATACAATTCCATCCAGAACAGAACAACAATGTACTGGAAGGGCAGATGTCTTTCCCAGATGTTGAAGGGGAATGTAGATTTTCCTTTGTAGCAATGGTGGAGGGGGTGGTTTCAAAGCTGCCCAGGGGCAAGATGTGGCTTTGGTACATCTTTTTTTGGTCTACATAATTTCTGGGTATTTGTCCATAACAACTGTGGTCTGTCTGAGATGGTAAACTCCTAGGAAACAGCCACCATGTGTTTCACCAGCTTTGCTTGATGATGACTATCACTGACTCTTAATCAGAAAGCTGGAAAACAGGGCACAGCTTCAGAGGGTTCAGTTTCTTAAGATTGATGACTTCCTGTCTGATGCCTAGAGGCTAGCTTAAGCAGGGAGGTAAAATAAGGCTGCCCAGACACCAATGCTTTTACCAACCCTCCTCCAAGAGAAGCACGTGTCAGAGGGCCACCTGAGGCAGTTCTAGTGTAGGGACAGAAAAACCATCCTAAGAACTCGGCCTAATTAATAGTGGGTGATGCTGAGTTCTGTTCTGAGCACTGAAATAGTAAAGTTTTATGTGGGAATGTTGAAGATTCTCATTCCTTGAAGTAGAGCTCTCACTATAAAAGGTTTTGTTTCCAGGTAAATGACATTTTCTCCATTATAACTTTATCTCTGTAAGTGTGTTTCTGAGGAAGACCAAAAAATAATATTCTCAGGAGAACTTTCAGACAGTGACAGCCCCCATAGAGGCAGTTTTCTATGGAGAAAGGTGTTGGATCATACATCCTCTAATGGTCCCATTGAACCCAAGAAATCAGCAACCTTTCAATAGATTTAGAGATATTCTGGACTCTTGCCCTTGCCATGGCCCTGAGACTTTGATCAGAGAACTGCCATCTCTATGAGCCTTACATTCTCCATTTGTGGCACCACCTAGGTTAGGAGGTGGTTTTGATAAGCCTGAGTCAGTCTGTTGTTTATTTAGAAAAGATGTCACACTCAAGAGAAATTGTTTCTTTAAACAAAATAATTGTAGACCATCTTGTTTCTTGTTACAAATGTTAGCGGCAGCCTTCTTCAAGGGACAGACACAGCCTGGAAGGAACCCTCAGCTTAGGAAGACTTCTCTGATGGCTCCCAAATCCCTGACCTTTACTCACTCTGAATTCTGACGGAGTTTACACCACACAGAGAGTACGCAGTCACATGCTTTCTCTTTTGTCTCCCGAACTTAAAAATGTAAGCTCTGAGAAAACAAGGGCCATTTCATATATGTATTTTTAAATTTTTAAAATTTAATTGCATACAAATCGGGTGCTTAAGTTGAAAAAAAACAAACAGGCTGTTGTTTTTTTGTTGTTGTTTGGGTGTTTGTTTGTTTTTTTACAGAGAGGAAGGGAGAGAGATAGAGAGCTAGAAACGTCCATGAGAGAGAAACATCGACCAGCTGCCTCTTGCCCACCCCCCACCAGGGATGTGCCCACAACCAATGTACATGCCCTTGACCGGAATCAAACCCGGGACCTTTCAGTCCTCAGACTGACGCTCTACCACTGAGCCAAACCGGTTTCGGCAAGACATGCTGTTGTTATAGACTGAATGTTTGTATCCCCTCTAAAAGTAATATGTTGGATTTTTGTTTTTAATCCACACCCAAGGGTTTTTTTCCCATTGATTTTGAGAGAAAGAGAGAGAGAGAGAGAGAGAGAGAGAGAGAGAGAGAGAGAGAGAGAGAGACATTAACATGAGAGAGACACATTAATTGGTTGCCTCCTGCCTGCATCCTTACTGGTATCAATTGGTTGCCTCCTGCACATATCTTTACTGGTGCTGGAGAACCTGCAACTGAGGTATGTATCCTTGACCAGGAATCAAACCTGCAACCCTTTGGTCCACAAGCCAACACTCTAACCATTGAGCCAAACCTGCCAAGGCCATATGTTAAAGCCTTAATTCCCAACATGATGATAGTAGGAAGTGGAGCCTTTGGCCAATAATTAGGTTTAGATGAAATCAGGATGAGGGAGCCCCTGTGATGGGAGTAGTGCACTTATAGGAAGAGGAAGAGACACCAGAGCTCTCACTCTTTCCACATGTACACAAGGAAGAGGTCAATGAGCATGCAGTGAGATGTGTGTTGTTTATGCCACCTAGTCTATGCTTTTTTTGTTATAGCAGCCTGAGCTGATGAAGACAGCTAGTTAAATTCAAACTGCAGTATTTGTGGGTATACTCTTCAGTATACAGTTCTCATCTTTTAATATCTGAGTCATGTGAGTCAAGAAGTGAAGGCAGTGGTATTTCCTTCAAGCCTTCCTGCAGTGTGGATACTGTTATGCTGGTTATGTACTTCAGAGCCTGGTTCTCTGACCTGTAAGGAATATTCTGTTAAGCTAGTTGTTCTTCAATTCCTTTACTTCCTGAACTAGCCAGAGTGGATCCTAATGTCCACAACTAAGATGGCCAATAACATGAACAAATACAGTTGGAAAGGAAGGGATTAAACAAGTGTGTTTTTGTGTTTTTTGTGTTTTTGTTGTTGTTGTTGTTGTTGTTTTATAGCAGGACTTCTCAGAACCATTGATACAATATGCATAGTCAATTTCCAAGGGAGAGAAAGAGGGTGTATTAGTATCTTCAGCTAACCCCATAGGGACTGATTATTGCATCCCACAACAGTTAATCTTGCAAGAGATTTGCAAAGATCTCCAAGCCTGGTACAAATTTTCCATCCTGGCCTCCTAAACAGAATTGGCCCAGCCAGTATGTGTTATCCTAGTCATCTCTGTCATTCCCTGACTCTCTGATGCTTTTCTGCCTGAAAATATCCCCTGAAAAAGATTTTTCTGTAAACACCATAAAGCAATATAAATGAAAGGTAAGACAAGTTATATTTTCTTTGACCTGAAGGCAGATTTTCATTTGCTCCATCTTCTTTTCTTTATGTCTAATGCCTGTGAGTTAGTGTTTATCCTCATCAATATCTCAATGCAAAACTTAAGTGAAAATTGTCCTTCTATAAAATCTGTATAAACCCATCTGGGAGGGGAGAGAGAATCCATGTGAAAATCCATTCTGTGTTTCATCAGCTATGTATCCTTTTTCTCCGAAGATCATATATTCCACACTTTCTTAGTGATTTTTCTAAACAGTTACATTATGTTTCAAACTTTCATATTCACCTATCCACCATACTGAACATCTGTTTTACTTGTTCACTGGGAGAAGAGATAGCATTAAAAATATTAGGCAGCTTGAGGTCAGAGATACACAGTTCCTAGCTCTGCCCCTTGCTTAACGAAGTGCTTAATTGTTCTGAGCCTCAAACATCCCGAATCAGATTGGCAAACAAGGCTGTGAGAGGAGCCCTACCTTATAGGGAAAATTATTGGCAAGCAGACAAAGGAAAAATAGCCCAGCTATCTGAGAAGAGGAGAGGCCATGAAAATCCTGCTGAAAGTCTAGCCCTGTTGAGCTAGGCCCTAGCAGCAAGGAGGGAGATGAGAAGCATTACATACGGTACTCCAATCTCAAAGATATTGTTCTGGATCAGCTGCTTCCCCAACATGATGATGCTAAGCTGAATGCAGAGTTCCATGAGGCAGCCTCCAGGAGCACACTGCAGAGAGGAAAAGACAATGGAAGGAGTGTTTAAACCAAGTGAGCTCAGAGGAGCAAGGGCATGAATCCAGACATGGTACAATGGGGATAAGGATGAGGCTGGGTGGTGGGTGCCCCTGTAAACCACTAGCTAGGCAGGAAACACCAGTGGCTAGCCATACTTACCTCTTCCATGCGGTAACCATTGAACACATAAACATAGCTTCCAGGTCGGCCCACAAACCTGAAATTGAGAAGTGTGGGAAGAGTTAGGAAAAGAGAGAGAAAGCCAGGGCTGCTTAAGGGCATGTCTTTAGAGCAAGAGCCACTGCCCAATATCTTTCTTGAAAGTACTGGTCAGGGCAGGTGATAAATCACCCAGGGACAGTTTATGCCTGTTAGCAGCTAACAATCATCTATAACACCTAGGGTTCACCTCCAAGGGATAGGGGGTGAAGACTAGTGTGGGGTGGGAAGGTCACACAGAGGGTGTGTGTGTGTGTGTGTGTGTGTGTGTGTGTGTGTGTGTATGAGAGAGAGAGAGAGAGAGAGAGAGAGAGAGAGAGAGAGAGAGAGAGAGAGAGAGAGAGAGAGAGAGAGAGAGAGAGAGAGAGAGAGAAAGAGAGAGAGACTAAGCACAAAATTTGGATTATCTCTAAGTATATTGTGTGTGCATCTCCTTTCAACTAGTTTTAAGAATTGAGTTCTGACTGCAACTTCCCAGTGAATGCTACCAATTTCCCATGAAATGAAGGGTGAAACAGACTAAAGTAAGTGGAGAGTCCTGGGAACAGGAAAAAATAATCTAGTCTTCTTACTGAAAATGTTCAAAGGAATGGAAGAAGCCTGCCTCATTTCTCTTCAAAGTAACATCAATTTTATTAGGGGATAAGAAGCCAATCATAGAACTAGATAGGAATCCCACTTATTTGAAATGCCATATCTAGGTCCACCTGTTAAAATTCTACTCATCTATTTAAGGCTCAATTTTACCTTTGCTTCTCTGTGATGTTTCTTTGTCTCTATTCATCATTGTAGCTCTTATTACAGCACTTTTTTCAGATTGCAATGTGCTGTTGCCAAGACTACTCTTTCAATATACCACAAGTTTATCTAAAGTCAGGACCCTATTTACCCATTGCCTAGAATATCATGTTTGCCATTTGTTAATGATAGCACAACTAGGTAGAAAACACCAATGAAGTATATACTCATTAACATGAACGGTTTCTCTGCTCCTATAATTTCATAAAAGCCAAGGACAGAGGTGCTGGACAGGGGTTGTAGTTTGGGCCATAAACACATTTATAAGAAATTATCAAATATGAATGATAAGAATTCTTGCTACCAATGTCTATTTGATGAGCATTTATTTCTGGGGAAGCTTTCCTGACTCCTGGGAAATCTCCTTGTAGATAGCCAATTGATCTAATCACAAAAATAGTTATCAGAAGTGATTTTACATCCAGACCTATTATATAATGAAGAATTGGACTGGACTTTGTTGCTGGTTCCTGGAAGGAGTCTCTAAATTTTTGGAATTTCCTGATAGGAGTGTCTTTGCTATACTTAGTGGGCCCTTGGGATTATACCTAAATTTATGCTAATGAGATAACTCAGGATGAAGGAGACCATGCTGGAAGGGCCAGGTAATAGCAGCCTGAACTCAGGGAAGGAGAGAACAAGTGGATATTGAGTTCATTCACATGGTGGATTATTCAATAATACCTAAATAAAAATCATGAAGCATGGACTAGTTATCTGATTGTTGGTATACATCAATGTCCCAGAAAGCTAATACTTCCTGAGAACATGGAAGTTTGTTTAGGACCCACTTATGTGCCTCTCCCATTTGCTGGTTTGGATTTGTATCCTTTTGCTATAATAAAACTGTAATTGTAAGTACAGCACATTCCTGAGCTATGTAATGTGTCCTAGTGAATTACTGAGCCTGAGGGATTAGTGGTTGTAGGGTTAGTTGTCCAAATCATGAGTAGCCTGGGAGCCCCATAGCTTGCGGCTAGTGGTTGAAGTGAGGACAGTGTTGTGGGACACTGTGCCCTTAATCTGTACTCTGTACTACTCTGAGTAGTTAGCATCAGAACTGCATTGCAAAACCTAAGAGCCTCTGGCTAGACATGAAATTCTCTACTACCTCATCCTCAAAGTTAGGAGACACTAATTCTTCTAAGATTCACCCTTCAGGAGCCAGAGCCAAACCCTTGTAGAACTTTCCTATTTATCAGAATATAAAGATGCTAATATAAAATTGTTTAGTATTAACTGCTTCCTGAACAGCCAGATAGGGATGGAGATGGGAGATGGGACTGAGGATAAGAATTGACAATGGCAACAGGCTGACTTCAGTGGAGGACCCAGACTTAGTGACCAATTTCTCTTCCATATATGACACTAATACACTCACCTCCCTTTGAAAAAGGCCACGTAGAAGATAGGCGAGTAGGCATTGACAAACTTCAGCAGGAAAGCTTTCAATATCAGGCGTTCTTCAAAAGTCTGCTCTGTTTTTGGAACCTCTGAAAAAGAAAAGCAAAGCTGATAAGGTGGAAAGATTTCTCACCTCTCTGAATTCTGACCCTGTAACATGAACCATTCACTGTCTCTCAGCTTGCTTCTTCAGAGGAAAAACTAAGAGATTGAACTCTCTGGCACTTCCTTCCTCTATCCACTCAAGCAATGGTTTCATACTGTGCTCCTCAAAGAGGGTATGGGTAGGCAGAAAATTTCTTTCTACCACCTTGAATCACCAAGGGAATCCAGCTTTTACTTGTATAATTCCCACTCTGTGAGATTTTACTTGAGCACAAATCCCTGACTAAAAAGGCTTATTCAACACTGAACTAGAGGAAAGAGGTAGCAAAGACTTATCTTGAGCAGCATAGCATTGTTCCTCTTTCTCTCCTCCACCATTTTTAGCAGGAAAGCCCTCAACTATATGTACTCTGGATAGGCTGAAACATTTTTATTCCACTCATTCAAATAATGAAAGATCATCAGTTAAGTAAAACAAACACAACCTAAGACTAATGTCTCAAACTTGGGGGTCATGATGCCCTTGTGTTCCATCAGGTCCAAACAGAGAACCCAGCTGATATTCCAAGAAGGACCCTGAGGAACACTAAGCAGAAACATCATTGGTGTCTTTAGAAGACTTGAGACCTATGGTATGCTCCAGTGAGCAGCTGTGCATAGTGCTTAGTGAGGTCTCCACAGATGGTGACAAATACCTCGACAAAGAAAAGAGAGTACAGAACCATACTTCAGGGGCAGAAAAAAAGCACTAAGTGTGTATCATGTGCACTGATGAGTACAGCCTGAAAGTTTGCTGAGCTCAGGGCCAGAGTGCCAGGGCCATGTGGTCAGGGAGTTCTGTATCCGAATGAGACCAGTGTGTGGACCTGCCTGACTTGTCTGCCCATCTGACTCACACATGGATTTTGTAGGAATCATTAGAGAAGTGGACACAAGACCCTGTTCTCTCCACTGAAGTGCCCTTCTCTGACCCATCCTCTCATGTACAAATCCTTCCCATCTTTAACATCCAGATTGAATGTTATACATAATCTCCTTCCCCAAACCTTCCCAGATGCCTTCAGCTGGCAATAAAATCCTTTTGTGTGTGCGTTTAAAATAATATTTTACATTTATCAGTATTAATTACCTACACCCATGCCCTATGAAAAACCACAGTAATTGTAGCTTTTATTGATTTTCTGTGTCTTAGTTTGGATTACCTTGTAAGTCATGGGTTCTGGACTAAGTAGTTTATTTGAGGGGTTCCTTGGCAAGCTTGGTAAGGGTATAGGGTGGTGAGATAGCAAGGGGATGGAAGAAAACATGGATATGTTTGTGAATAGGTTAAGGTTTCAGACAACTGGGACTCAGTTCCACAAGGGACCTTCTAATAGACTGTGAAAATCACAATTAAAAATAATTAAACAGAGGGGTGAGCAAGCAGAAGTGAATTCTCCACTGGTTGAAGGTTACTGTTGGATTTGACTCCATGGTACTTCCATCTTCTCCTATGAGAAGAACTCCTGCAGAGAGAGTTGCAGTAAACTCCAGGGTGGCCAAGGGGGTGTGCGGGCCACACCAGAAGGTCTGCTGTAAGCTGCTCTGCAGGGGACATTGCACCTGGATATGTGTGATTCCCATCTCATTTCATCCTCCCTTACCTATGTGAGGGAAGTTTTATGTCTCACTTTTTTGGATGAAGGGAACTGAGGCCCGGAGATATTAGAGATCACACAGCCAGTAAGTGACAGAATTAAGATTTGAACCCAGATTTGCCTGCCCCCAAAGACTGTTTTTATTACCCCACACTCTGAAATCAGGATGTTTGATTGATTAATGTTTACATCATGCATCCTCTTTCACCTCCCCACTCTCCTCCCCCAGCCTGACATCATGAACTTAAAACTATTTTTCACTGTTCAGTTAACATTCATTGAGCACCAGCTGTGTGCCAGGCACCATGCCAGGATGAATGAAGACTTCATCACCTCCTTCAAAGAGCTGCATTTAGCAAGGTCTCTATTGAAAGCCTTTTGCAAACTGCCAAGTCTCTTCCAGATTTACTCTGTGAGTGACAAGGTATCCTCTCCCCTCTCATCTTATGAGAGGATCCTATGGAAAAGAATCCTGCATTTTCATGTCTGCTTACCCATACAGCACAGTGAACCCCTCATTTATTTGCAAACCTAGAACACCTTGTTGCTTATTAGAAGGTGATACTCAACAGCATCAGTATTGGTCCAGTTTGAGCCTCTGCTAAGGACACCATCACAGGCAGACACAAGCCCCAAAGACCCATGGCCCAAGAGGGGACTTAAGAATGGGAATGTTTAAAGACTCCATAGCACTGCTATCACAAGTGTGAGCCAGCCTTGATTTCTCTCTAAGGCTGAAAGGGCCTAAGAAATGAGAGTTTCTCACTTGTCTTAGTCACCCCAGAGCCCTGAGAAACATGGTGTAATTTCTATAAATGCAGCAACACTGAAAACAAGTTCATTCCCCATGCTCCCCTTCATCCTGAGATCCACTTCTGTTCACTTATGTTAATAAACAGTCCTAGAGGCCCTGCAGGCCATGCTGAGCCTATAGAGCACCCCGTCACCTTATCTGTGGCCCAGCTGTGTGTTAAGGGGAGAGATTATTTGCTTGTTTTGTTTGGCTACAGTGATGGCTATAGGTACAGATTTTATTATAGTATCAGACATATTTGAGATCAAATGCAGATAAGTAGAGGAGTGAAGTTATAGAAACAGGAAAATGACACATGCCTCTCAGGGTTGTCCTGAGGACATGATAGGAATGTTTATAAAGCACTCAGCCAAGTACTTGGCACAAGGAAGACCTCAATAAATGATTATCATTTTCATCATATCATTATCATCATCATCATCATCATCATCATCATCACCATCGTTGTCGTCGTCATCGTCATTGTCATCCAGGTCCAATAGCCCTACTTTCAACAGCACAGCTGGGCTGTCTCTGGCCAAATGTTAGTGCATATGTGTAGCCCCTTGAGGTTCTGAGTATCATTTCCATGTTAACTTCTGACCACTTTCTAACAGTCAATGGTAAGCATGGCTGGTAGATGACCCTGTTGGCACCCAGCTGGGAAGTTGAATCAACAGGCCCCCTGTAACCTCCCCCGAAGAACCACAGCCCAACATGCTTCCTGAGATCCTCCAGGCAGGTTTAAAAATAGCATGGCCTGCAAGGGAACCTGGAGACATTGCCATGATTCTATAGGAAAAGAAGTTGGACAGTCTACCATGCTAGCCCTCAGCTGATAGACAGCTGTGTGTTTTTCTCCCTCTTGCCACGCCTGGACTGACACAAGCATAACCCCTGAGATAAAAGTCCTGGCCAACACTGCTCTGCCTCCCCCAATAAGCATTTGGATGAAGATTTGTACTCACCATTGATAGTTAACACCACCACTTCTGTTAGGTCTTTAGTTTATGTATGTTAGCAAAGCCCCTCAGATCATTAACCTCTCAGGCCTTTGCCGTCCCTGCTACAAATCCTGTCCGACAGAAAGGTCACTGCCTCCCTGTTGATTGATGTTTATCAGGTCCTTGCTGGGCTCAAGAGTCACATCCACATCTTCAGCCTGATTCTTATTCTCCCTGACTAAAGGAAACAATGCCGAGGCCCAGATGGGAATGCCTGACATCAATTTTTAAGGTCACTGCTAGTTTTAAGATCTCATAACTCTGAATTTCCAAGTGACTGTGAACTCTATCATGTTCCCCACACCCCCGCCATGGACAGTTTGGATGACTTTTTTTTATAATAAGCAAGGTTACAGCTGTTGCCAGATGTACTCTACTATGCTCACTTGTTGAATGAATGAATGAATGAATGAATGAATGACAAAGAAAAAAATAATTTGGAATTGTGAAAAAAAGTTATCATTTACTATAAATTCCCTGTCACATTGGAAGGTGAGCAAATCTTAAGGAGGCACCTTTGTCTGCTGAGCAGGATAATCCATATGAAGACATAGAGAGAGGCTGTCAAAAGGGAGTTACCTTTCCCTACATGAGATACCAGGTGGAGGTGCTGGAGTTAGATGCAGGACCCAGGAAAGTCTAGAACCAGTGCAATGGGAGGGGGAAGGGTAGAGAGGGAGATGAGGGGGCTGCCACCAAAAAGGAAATGTGAGTGCATAGGTTGGGGGATGCCCAGTGGAAATTTTCATTAACTTTTGTGTGATTTGCAATATGAGCCTCCTCATTTGCCTTTCCATAGAATCTTCAGTAAATGTTCATTAAAACCTGCTTTCCTTTCCATTGCTTGAATAGTTCTGGATTTGCTCTTGGGGCAGGGATGTGCCCACAGACTGAGTCCTACTTCAAAATGGGCACCACATGAATAGAGACTGCCCATGGTGCCCTGTTGTAGCTCAGTTACAAAGGAGAGAATTGGAAGAGAGAGATAAGAGATAGAGACAGAAAGTGATAGAGACAGAGGATAGGGACAGAAAGGAGAAGAAGAAGGAGGGGAATGAGGAGAAGGAAAGGAAGAAGAAAGGAGGGAGGGAGAGAATGAGGGAGGGAAGGAGGGAGGACATGATGGCGAGGGAGGGAGGGAGAGGTAAAACTTTTCAATAGGAATTTGAGCCTTTGCCCAGTGTGCCAATAGGCAGCAAATTCACTAGTAACTTAAGTGCATCTCATCTTTTTGTCTCTCATTTTTAATTTTTAAAAATTATTTTAATTTTAATTATTTCACCCTTTGGTTGAATTTATTAAGGTAACTCTGGTTAATAAAATTATACATGTTTCAGGTGCACAATTCCACAATACATCATTTGTATACTGTATTGTGTGTTCACCTCCCCAAGTCATATTTCTATCCATTGCCATTTATCATCCCTCCTATAACCTCCTCCACCTCATCCTAACCCCACCTTCATTTTTAAATATTTTGTAGGTAAGAAATTTAAAACCAATGTCATCTAAAAATAAATAATCAGGCCTGATGAGCTGAAAAGTTGGAA